CCATTCCTCAAACAACCCCTCCCCCCCCCCCCCCACCTCTCTGCAACCATCCTGTAACCTCCAACCACCTCCTTCTCTCTCTCTCTGTTTCCCTCTTTCTCTCTCTCGAATTTGCAAATTTCGCATAAACTTGCCAACGTACTGTCCATAATTTCCATCAAATCGTACTGTTTTGATTGAAAAAACGAAAAACTCGCCCTCCATCCTGTTTCAGCTAAATCTCTTATCAATAATGGTTTGCAATGTTTCAACTATACAATCAGATCTTCTTATCAATAACATTGTATGCAACTAAGAATGAAATGAACAATACAAGCACTTAAACTTTACTCAAAAAGTCTTTCTTAGTGCGTCTCTTTGAGCATCTTTCTCTCATACACTTCCCTCTCTCTCTCTATCTCTCTCACTCTACCTTCTTCAATCCACTCGCTTTCTCGTCATTTTTCTTAATTTTTATAAATATAAACCGTTTGTTCAAAACAAAAACCAGGAAAATCGTGAGAAATTCCAGCTTTTCTCATTCATCTTTCATTTTTAATAGCTTGAGCCGAACAAACAAAAGCCATCTGGAAAAGAAACAAACTGCTCTGCTGTTCATAAGCTAATAAGGATCTGATGTTCTTTCTCCTTCTCAATTTCAATCTCTTATACTCTCTATCTCTATCTCTCTTGTTTCTCATCCTTGTTCTCTCTCTCTCTCGCTCTTCTTCTCTTTATCCTTTTCTCTAACTACCTCGTTTCTCTCTTAACATTCTTTTTGAATGCATTCTCTATTGTCACACACTTTTCAGTATAATACTAAAAAGGGGGAATGAACTCAAACGATCCGACCTCATTTGGCCACTTCAGGTCTGACAGCCTCTGTTCCAACCTGGGCAGTCTTCATTTTGTTCCAATTTCACTCAACCTTGTCCAATATTGATTTCTCCTCTACCTCACATATTGATTTTTCCATAAAAACTCTTTCATAGCTGATTATACATAATAGTATTTAAGTTCAATTATACAAATAGCATTTATATGACGCTCTCCAAGTTATTATGAACCTTCATAGCTTCATGTCACCATGGAAACTACTTGACGTGACCTATCTTCCTTCTCTGTCCACTCTCATTCTTCCTTACTCTCTCTCTTCATCCCTCTGTTTCCTTTTTCCGAAACTTTTAGTATCCAAACGTCTATTTTGTTTTAAATTTCCTTTTTGAACAAAAAAAAAGAATATTTTTTCTTTTTTTTTCCAACCAATTAAAATCAAAATAGAAACGCATGTGAGATGGTTCAAAGACCTGTTTGTGGCTGTTCGTCAAGTCATTTTCATTTCATTTTATGAGATTTTCATGTTGATTCACTCGTCCTTTCACCTTTTTTTCATTTAATTTGTACTTTTTCGCACTTTCTCATATCTCATTACACTCTCTCTCTTTCTCTCACTTCCTCTCTCTTTCTCTGTCTCTCTTTATCTTTTTCTCTCTAATGTGCAGTATGAAGTATAACTTTCTAGAAGAACGGTGATGTACGTTTTTTGAATAAAATCTTCTCAAATTTGGTGATTTAACGAAAATAATGTCCTACGAGGAAGTTTTGAAGGTAACGAACACACATAGAATACTGAGATGAAAACAGAAATATGAAATGTTCTGATGACTCGTTAATCCTTTACAATATTTTCAGACAGAGCTCAAAGAACGTCAAAAGGAGTGTGATCACCTGAGGAAGAAAGTTCAGAAATATGAGATCGACAAGTAAGATGACTTTCCCTCATTTTATTGAGTTTTCATATTTTTTATATCAAAAAACAAAAGTGAGAGATAGAAGAGTAAGAAGATCATTATGACCGTTAAGTTTTAATCCAAAAAATAAACATGATGGATAAGGAGGATGATTACGAATACAAGTATGACTGGAATATCTTACGCCATATGAAAAACTTTAAGAAGCAATGAGAGAGAGAGAGAGAAAGTGAGAGAGAGGGAATAAGGGAGAGAGTATGAGAGGGAAGCTTGATAATGCGAGGTAAGCCGATTGACCTCCATGCAAAGATAACTGTGAATTACTTGAAACCTCAATACGAACACAAGAACAGAAAGAAATATTTGAAAATCTTCCGAAATACCAGGTGAAATATGAAATATGTGAAAGAAGGTTTACTATTCTGGCATCTTCCTTCAACTCACATTCATCCCCCCCCCCCCACACTCCTTCAGGTCTTTTCCGGTCAATTCCATTAAGAAATATATTATTCCGGACATTCAACTATCACGCAATCCGTTTATAACACGGAAAAGGCTTTTATATACCCCAAATATATTTTTATTTAACATATAGCATATAAAACAAAAATATTACCTGGCGTGAGAAGGGAAATGAATTTTTTATTTCCAAAAGTACCTTTTCCATGTACCCTGCTCTCTCATAGCTTTTCGCTATCTCCCTCACTATCTCTCTCTGAGTTACTCGTTTCAGAGAGTAGAAGATTCACTTTGCATGTTTGTTTATAATTTCAAAAATACTTTGTTTATGAGAGATTATATTGAAATAGAGAGGAAAGGTTTGATTTTCAAATTTCAATTTTACAGACAAAAATGGGAGGATAATCTTCCCGTCGATGTTCAGCTTCTCATCGCACAGAAGAAACAGTTAGCTAATCAGTTGAATCAGGAACAAAATGATAAGCAAGAAATATTTAAACAAGTAGTCATTTGAAACAACATGCCATCTCTCAACATACTCAAATGATTCAGATGAATGTCTATGTTGCTCAGTTAGCAGAGGTTTCCCATGGGGATAGCTTACGAGAGGAGAATAAGATTCTCAAAAGGAAATTACAAGATCAAGAGGTAATATTCTTATATCAATGGAAGATTTAAATGAACGTTCTGCCTACAGGCTGTCACAACAGCTGAATCTCAAAGATTAACCAACGAATTGCAAAAAGTTCGAATGAATGCAGATGTTGATTCTACGAAGTTAAGAATGGAACATAAGAACTTACAAGCTGACTTCGATAAAGTAACACAAGAACTGAGCATGAAGACTGCCGCTTTGCAATCCCTGAAGTTAGCAAAACAGGTAATCAATTCTATAAGTTTTATCATCAGCTGATATGGAACACTTTCAGGATACATCTAAAGATGAAGAGTACAGAAGAATGTCAGAAGAAACACTCGCTTTGAAGGATGCTATGAAGAAGCTTGAAAGGGAAAAAGAAGAATTCCTAGACGAGATAGAAAGAAAGAAAACGTAAGTTCATCCTTAATACATTTCAAAAAACTCGAACGGGTGAACGGTTACTTTTGTGTTTTGGATTTTCAATTGTCGTTCCCTCGATATGGTATTCTCATTTATTTTCTTTCGTTCAATTTATGTGTTTCCACCTTACTATTCCATGCTCATGGGAAGTACTGAACTCTCTCCATTCAACACTTATTCATACGAGTAGTACTATATATATACAAATATCATTATAATTAAGAAAATAAGTGTAAGTTTCCCTTCCTATTAGCTATCGTTCACAGGTCATCAAGGTGTCATCAAGTGCAATGTGAATTTGCCTGAAAACTTTCCAATTTCTTTTACATATTGATGAATTCAGTCAAATTCGAATCGATACGAAATAATTGGTGCACTTTCGAAATGTGTTCATGTCTGTCATGCTAAGTACAATTCACGTGAAAAACGTGGAATACGTGAAAGGTCACGTGGCGCGTAAATTTCAAAAATACGTCATTTTCTTGCGTGATTTATGCGCAAGTGGTTGAAATCAGAAATACATATGAGTTGAAAAGATTAAAACTTATGAAAACCTTTTATAGAGAGGAAAGAATACTGTTAAGAGATAAGGAAGATCTGCAGGTGGAGTTGGAGAGATTACAAGATGAATTGAAAAGAGAAGCTGAAAGAAGCGTTAGTTTACATCATGTTAAATCTGTTTTTCATAATTCATTTTGAAGGAGATAATAGATAAGGAAAGAAAGAATATAGAAATGAAGCTTATTGAGTCTAAGGCAGATATAGACAACCTCAGTCTCAAACTGTCACATCATGAAAGTAACTTCTTGTCGGCCGAGCAAGGAAAGGATGAAATGATAAGGGTAAACTATAGTATATTCTTTTCACATGTAAAACGTTCTTTATTCAAGAGCCGAGATGAACAAATTAAATCGTTGAAAGAGAATGTTGCAAAACTAGAAGCTAAGCGAGATGAGTTGACAGATGAGAAGTTTATCCTGGAGACAACTCTGATCAATAAAGATACCACAATTGATGTATGTTCGTACTGTATTAAAGAATTTGAAAAATGGATTTCAGACTACGCGCGTCGATCTATACGCAGCTCAATCAAAGATAGCTCAAGTTGAAGATGAGAAGATTACCTTAGAATCTCAATTAAAAAGTAGTGAAAGAGAAATTTCTCAGCTTCTTGCTCAGATCGGAGTTTTCGGAGCAGAAGACAAAGAGGTAAAAAAGCATTATCTGCAATTATGGACATTTTCATTTGAAGATTGATGTTCTGAGGTTAGAACTCAAGAAAGCCAATGAACATGTCAATCTATTAGAAAACCGTCTACAGAAGGCTAGCAGTCAAGCCGTGAGTTCAAAGTCTATAATTCATATGGTATATACTCCGTTTGCAGAGCACAGAATCGTTCCGTCAAGAGATTGAAGAATTGAAGAATCAAAATGAGAAGTTGAAAGAAGAGCGTAGCCTCATGGATTCTTTGAGAGAGGAAATGTATGTTATCCTTTTTCATTTAACAAATGATGTATCCAATTTAGAAAGGAGCAGGAAGAAAAGATAAACGCACTAACTCTCTCTGAAAAGACTGCTCGCGAAAAGTATCAGAAGTTAGAAAGTGAACTGGATGATTCCAAAAACTCTAAAGTCTCTGTAGCTGAAGAAATTAAGACTTTGATGAATTCTATCAATTCGCTCAGAAAACAGATCGAGTAAGCATGATTATGAAACTGCTTTCTCTAATAATTTATATTTAGTGAGAACAATTTGGATATTGGAAATCTTGAAAAAGAGAGGAATGAATCACGCCAATTCATCGAAGATTTGAATGAAGAGATGAACGCATGGAAGGAACAAGCTGAAGAAGCGCAAGCAGAGAAGGAACAGTTAGAAAGAGAGTTAAAGATCAAGACCGAAAAGTGAGCTTTTCTATAATATTTCTATCATTTTTATATTATTTGAAGCATGGCTCTTTTGACTTCTGCTAGTTCACACAATAAGAGTGATTATGACAATTTGCTCAATGAAATAGAAGGCTTACGGGAACTCAACAACGAGCTAGAAGAAGAACTTGCCAAGACGAGAGCAGAGTGGTCGCAGATTTCGAAAAAGGCTGACACTCTTGAGAAGGTTAAGGAGGGATACGTCCAAGAATTGCAACAGTTAGCATACGAAAAAGAGGAAAGCGATGAGAAGTTTGAGCAGCAACTGAAACATGTTCAGCAAGACCTTTTGAACCAAAAGAAGCGAATTGAGGAGCTAGAAGGTAATATATGAAGTTGATAAAGTATTAAACAGTCTCATCTTGCAGAGGAACGGGTTAGAGCAGTTGGATCATCAGATAGTGAAAAGAAAAGACTTTTAGACGAAGCTAATGAACAACGGGAAAAAGTAATATATTATCAGAAGATAGTTTCATAACTTGTTGTAGGCCTCAAATGCTCAATCGCGAATTTCTACCCTGGAGGAGGAAGTTTCTTCGATTTCTGGATCATTGTCACTTGCAAATGTTAAGAACAATAATTTGGAGAGCAAATTGGAACGTTTAGAGATTGTAAGATTTTTGAAAAGAATGTTCAGTTACGAAATTTTTCAGGAGTTAGAAGAGGCTTTAACTCGTGTCGACACGTCAACTGTCACGGAAATCAAAATGCAACAGTTCGAGACTCAAAATAACAAACTGCAAGAAGAAATTACAAAATTAGAAAAAGATCTGAAAGAGACTAGAGAAAACAGGGAAACGACAGTGAAACTGTTAGAAAAACAGATCGAAGAGTTGAAATCATCACATAATCTTTCTGAAGTTGAGAAGCAGGGAATGGAAGAAAAAATGGAGGAATCTGAGAGAATGAGTAGAAAGGTAGGTTCAACTCAATATTCAGGAAATCATTTCTATAATTTTCAAGATTATTGAATTGGAGGCAAAGTTGGCTACAAGTGCAGAAAAGCAGCAGCAAAGTTTGTTAAGCTTGAAGAACATGACTGAACTGGTGGAAAAAGAATCAAAGCGGTTCCAGGAAGCAGCTCAGGAAAAGAGAAGGTTCGTATGCAGCTATAAGTAATGACATCTTTCTAAAACTATTTTTCTAGATTCAAAGAGAGAGCCGAGGAAGCAGAAAGGTTGTTAGCCGAAGCTAAGGAAAATCCTCAGCAAAGTGTAATATCACTATTCAATTTTTTTGATTTTTAAATATTTTATACAGGATGATGTTTTGATAACTGAAAATGCTCGCTTAGCCAGCGAGTTGATGACAACCCGATCTCAACATGAGGAGATGTTAGAAGACCAAAGGGAACAAGTTTCTAAGCAATATGATGAGAAAATCAAAAAGTGAATAAGTTAAGAGATTGTTTCATAATATCTGTTTGTTATAGCTTAACTAGCCAATTAGCAACATCATCATCCCGTGTAGAAGAGTTGAACAGGACAATTGTACAGACGGAGAAGAAGTTTGTTACAACACTTTTGACTCTTTGGATGTTTCCGAATTTAGGAGAAAAGATGAAGTTGCTTCTGTATATGATGAATTACAAATGGTTAAGAATGAGAATGCTCGATTACAAGTTAGGATCGATGAGTAATTGGCTTATAATCTTGTGATATGTTCGGGATATGTTTTGCAGAATGTATAATACCAATCGACTCGCTCCCTCTCGAAGAGTATCCAATATGAGCGCCATAACCAATTTCAGTACAACCGATTTTTCCGAAATCGATGACGTTGATGTTTTGAGAGAACAAATCGACAAGTGAGTTTCTTTTACCTCGTTGTATTGAGATAACCTTAAAAGGGAAAGGAAAATATCTTTTATGAAGTACTTAAACTTCACCATGGGTGGCAAGGTTAGAGCTAAATCGTTTCAAGATTAAGGATCTCTTTCGATTTGTTCGAGTCTTATTGAGACACTCAATCAATCGAAGTACCTTACGAGAGCTATTAACTGCTAATCTCTAAGCTCCCTTGACTGATTATAAGTCGTGATCTAATTTTAAAATTTTTTTCTCTTTTCAAAGCCTTTGAGTCCCAAATCATTTTATATCTATAGATGTATATCTGCACCTCACCGTGTTCAGAGTAATTTCCTTGTTCTTTCTGCTTTTATTTACATTCACCTTTTCGCGCTTCTCTTCTAAGAATGGTAGAGGTCAGGTCAAAACTAAGAAATAGAAGAATCTTCTTCTTCTTCTATTACTTATCCGTCTGGTTCTCATCAATCCTCCTTATCTTTTATTCAATTCATTCATGTCTTTATCCAATACCGTGTTTGAAGAGCTTCGTGCCATTGCCAAGTATTAAGAAGAGAATTTTTTTATTTCTTCTTCTGAGAAGAAACAGATAATAGGAGATTTCTCCTTCTCCTTTATAGGTCTTTGATAGGAGACCTCTTCAACAAAGTAGGATGAATTGTGATATCATAGAATATCTAACCCACTCCCTCACTTCTTAATTCTCAATTATCTATTTCCGTAAAATCATCTTCTCAACTTCTTTTCCATAGTCTGATGTTTTTTTCATTAATAACATCGTGGGAATGTCAGTAGCTTGTGGATCCTTAAGCGTGTCTCAAACGTTTTTGTTTCATTCTGAACGACCTTCTCTAATTAGGAAACATTCCGTCCCGTGTACTGTCTTGGCAACTGATTCTCCCTTACCATTCATCAGAGGGCTTCACTTTTTTTTCTATTTTTTCTCAGTTTCATTGAGAACTTAAGAAAAAAACAACCAACACTTCCGTGCGGCTTGATTTGTCTTGATGTCGACAGACATGACTGGAAGAGGTTTTTAGTACAGAAAATGAAAGAGAGAGCATCTCCTCTCTCTGTGCGTGATGCCTTGAGGCAGAGAGTGGAAGAAGGATAGGGCAGAGGGATAGAAGAGAAAAGAAGTTCGAAATATTAAAAAAAACCAGTCACCACCCGGAAACTGATGACAGTCAAAGAAGAGAGACGGAATGCCGGATTGTTGGAAGGAAAATTGAAAAGAAGCCGAACGGAGAAGAGATGTGATGGAGTGCAGCTTTTTAAAGGACATTGCACTTTGTGGAGCAACAACTTCGGAGCTGTTGGAAAGAGACTGTCGTTGGAGGGTTTTTGCGGAAAGTGATGATTATAGGTTGCTTGACAAGAATAAGCAGAAAAAAGAACAAATCAATTGCAACGGAAGCTGCTTTTCTGCAATTCTTTCCGGTTAGACCAGAATGCGCCGATATAGGTGTTCGTCTAGAAAGTAACAATCTTTTTCGAAATTTCAAAGACAAACAGTATTATGGAATAAAGAGTAGAAGAAGCTTAAAAGGCCGATTACACAACCCCCCCCCCTCCGATCTCTCTTTCCATTCATAGCTTTTCCTGTTCTTCATGTCTCTTCTTCTGTAAAAAAAAGTAACAAAAAGAGATTTTATATGAAAATGATTCATTCATGACTATGATGCTTAACAATCATAAATTTTTGTGGTTGTTAATGATATAAGCAAAGGATGTAAAAGATGAGAAGAAGCCAGGTGATGACGAATGGAGGTCTCTTTTAGCCTATTATGTTGTTCCTTTTAAACGTCACACCGACGATATAATATCTTCAATGCTTCAAACATCTAATAACTCATAAAAATGACCATAAATAGGGTTTGAAGTGGCCATCAGAATATTAATGATAATACGTGCCAGGTCAGTTCTGTCATTCACTTCTCAATGACAGCCGTACCGATAGCTTTGAACGGCCTTTCACCAATTATCGTTATACATATCAAAAAAAAACATTTTTATATTAAAAAATAAAAGAAGATGAGGAAAATCAAAGAAAAGATGGAAAAGTAAAAGATTAATGTCTTTTCTCAAATAAAATGTTCGTCAAAGGAGTTCTCTGATGAATGGCAGACAGTAAAAGCCATTCATCAAACCATTTCATGCGCTATTGAAGTGACCAAGTAGCCGGAAATGGAAAACTTCTTCTCATCATCATCCTTGTGTACCTCAATTCATGATATTACATAGTTGTGATAGCTTCACCTATTCAAAAGCATATTCTATTCAATCTGTTATCAACTGGTTTACATTCTTGTAGAAGTTCAGTCCCTCTTGCTACCGATCCACATTGTCCTATAATTCCCTAATAGAGTCTACCTGAGATTCTTAAGTGCTCGAGGATTACATAAAGAATCGGCAAAACACAAAGACAAGCTGTACTTGACTTTCGTACAACAAGGTTTTACAAGTTACCCTGTATAGCTATTTCACTTTCCCTCAACATCGTTTTCATCTTTAACGTAATATTTCATTTTCGTTGAAATTTTTGCAGCAAGTCATTTGTACCTCGTATAGATAGCTCAGAAAAAAAGCTAAGAAAGAAAGTGAGATGGATAGCGAGAGATAGAGAGAGAGAGAGGAAAAGAGATAGTCAGGTAGGTATTGTACGATCGTTGGCGGAAAGATTTTGTATTCCGGAACCGTCGACGTGGCCCCGTATTGGGTTTCCGGCTCAAAGCATACCCGACGTAACTTGAAGTCTCAGATATCAGGTTGCTCATGGAAATGATGATGAATGTATGAATGTAAGTGCCGATATGAAATATTTATATGATTGAGAACGGATGTACTTGAAAGAGGTAAAACATCTGCCACAGGATGAAAGCCTATAAACGATTTTTGTTTTTCCACTTTCATAAGTTCGTCAGCACTCCAATGCTGTTTTGGCTTTGTGTAAGAATCCTCAACCACTCAGGAGAATTTTTAATATTTTTATCGAATTACCACAAAAGCTTTTAATTGAATATCCCGAACCAGTTTCTTTTTCATCGAAGCTACATCATTCTACCTTCCTCTTCTACATCACAACTTCCTGGCTCTCAGATTTTCGTTGCTCTTGACCTCAGTCGCTCTCTAGCTTCTTCTTTCTCTTGATTTTTTTGGTTCTTCATAACTTCATATATATCACTGGGCGGATGATTAAGTGTAAACAGTAAGGAGTGAAGAAATATGAAAAAAGGAGTGAAAGATCACGTTGAGGTCGAACATTTTTGCTTCGACGGTAGACAATTTTTCTTCAAATGATCCAAAGACCGGTAAACATCGTCCAACGCTGGAGATGTTTGATGATGCCGCCATTGGCTCACTGAACTCACGGATCAAACTCACAGATTCCGTTGCACAACATCGGAAGCCACTTGAGATTAGTCGTACTCGTGATTCGAGCCGGCCCAGTCGGCTTTCGCTTTTTCCAGTTGACCCTTGGAAGTTTAAGTTGCCTATGATGAAATGCATGGATCAGGTTTCCATGATAGGAGTTTTCTGAGAGATAATAGAGAATGTCCTTTGAAGGACCATGGCAGGTTGTAGTGATTGTAATGAATCTAAAAAAAGTGTAATCAGAGCCCTGTGAGGGAAAAAATAGGAAGAGAGAGTGGATGAGATACTCGCTCTATTAGTACTACAACTGATTTCTCTCCTTATTCAATAAACATTCAAATACTCTTCTAACTTATTTATTTTTTCAGGCAAAAACGGCTGATCATAGTTTTACGTCGGAAGTGTCAAGGATTATTAGGAAAATAGAAAGCGTATATGGAAGATGAGGTAATCTTCATAGACCACCTTTAATTGCCAACAGTCATTCATGTTTCTTATCTGTCACATTATTATATTTCCTTATATGTTGCTTGTATGTTAGGGAATAAGACCTAACTATTTGTTATAGATTATATGGAATCTTCATCAACTTGCCATTTTGTATTTTCATCCATCAGATATCTATCTATCAAGTAATCTAGCTTACTATGAGCTTAAGCTTATTATTTTTTTCTTGTTGTAATCTTGTTTCCAACTGAATGTTGCTCATCAAAGCTCATAGATACATATATTTAAGTTTCTCAGATGAAAAGATCTATTATTTATTAGAGAAGAAAGAGAGTTTGTATAATTACCATTTCCATGTCTGTAATACACACATAACCATCCCCCCCCCTCACCCAACTCCTCTCCTACAACCCATACACGTATACACTGCCATGCATCCTTTCAGCGTTATCTCAAAAGATCCATTTCTTTGTGATGCAATGAAGAATTTAAAAACTTATTTTTCTTTTTATTTCAAATACAACATCGATTGAATGGAACTGCTCGATCAAACTTTCTCAGATTATGTGCTCGTTTATTTGCAAAACGTATTGACTTCTCGCCATTTGGGAACAGAAGTTGAGAAGAGCATACTGTAAATTACAAAATTATAAATTTTCTTTTCAAATGCAATTGGAAGGAGATGAATGAGTTATGAGCGATTCATCATCAATGCTACTTGTATCTCAGCAACAAGACAATGACGATCTGTATATGATTTAATTTTTCTTCTTTTTTTTTTCATTCACATAATTATATTATTATGCAAATGAGGATTTTCAACACAAATTCCGCTTTCTCAAGTATTTCTTATGTAATTTACATGACACAGAGACCTTGGCATTACCGTATATCTGGAGATGGAACGAAGTGACAGAGAGTTTCGTTGTAAAACTCCATTATCTCTATCTCTCTCTGTCTCTCTCCTTCCCTCCATTTTTTTTCTTATTCACTTTTTACCGTTTTTGAGCGATAAACGACCTCTTTTTTTCAAAAGATTTGCTTATCTTAACGATTCTGCCTTTCAACAACAAAATGTTTCCAACAACGAAGTGATGAGAATCGAAAAACAACGATCGAATACGATGGAAACGTTTGGAAGCTTCCAGTGGTAGAAGGAGCATGAGTGCAGGTTCATATCATCAACTAGCTGATCAATGACGGAAAGAAGCACATAAATCATCTTATTGTTATTAATTTGTTTTTTTTTGTATGTTTTTTCTCAATCGTAGAAAGTCGTCTGCCTGGATATGTTTACAATAGCAAGGGGGGTTGCGCATGCGTTATCCAAACTGAGAAAACCAATATTAGCTTTTGGGTTGTTGCGTCTGGACTTGTGTTTTCTTCTTTGTTGATGCTGCCAAAAGCATCATGAATGAGATAATTTGCCAATTAGAGAGTTTGATCAAGCTCCAATACAGTTTTTTTCATTTACAGAATTTTATTGGTGAAAAGCATACGATCCCTCAAAGTCATTGATTGATTGGTCCCTTTCGAACACAAATCATATGATGATGGTTGAGGTGGTGGCGTATAAGACAGACACACAGTGGATATGCTACGGGGCCTCGTTTCTCCTTCGTCGTATGTTTGCTCAACGTCAACGACGACAATCCAGTCGAACCGGAGCGACTCACAGCCGGATGATATAGACTGACAGCTTCAGAGAGCACAGAGAAGCTATACAACAAAAAATTCGTTTCTCCTTTTGACTATCAGAGAGAGAGGAAAAGAAAGAAAGAGAGAGAGACTGAAATGGAAGGAGAAGGGAGGATGAAAGGTAAGCTGAAGTTGAAGAGAAGAGAGAAAGCATACTATCCTCAATTCAGAGAGAGGAGACGCATAAAGTTGCTGATGGAGGGAAACGCTCTATATTGGTGTGTGCTAGAGATTCAGCCGAATTTACCGATGAGAACTATTGAATTGTCTGAAGAGCTCGAGAGAGAATTAGAATGTCGGGAAATTTTTGCTGACTGTGAGGTTAGGATGACGAGAAAATCAACGGCGCCTATGACCGGCTGGTGCTGTTGCTGATGGAGAAAAAAAGAAGAAAAGAGCCAAGTCACGGGACGGCACGTACCGTAATCCGAAGCTGGACTCCGATCGGAGCAGTCTATTCTCATCATATTGTGTGTGACTGCCGTTGTTGTAGAAAAGTTGAATCACCTGACAGGACTGATTCGGTTCACGTTTTCGGCAATTGGGCTTTTCCTTCTCTCTTCTCATTTTCTCTTGCTCAAAGAGCTCAAAAGTTTTTGATCGTAAGGATGACGCGAGAAGAAGAAGATGGAAGAGAGAAGAATGAACAACAAGAATAAGCTGAGAAGGTGAAACGAACAAGAATCATGTGATTGGCACGATTGATGATCCCCATTCTTATTTTGGAAATAATTTCCATCTTCTATTTCAGATTAACGTATAGCATTGAATCTTTAATGATGATATGAGAAGAAGAAGAAGAAGAAGCAGAAGAGGATTAAGCAATATGAAGAACAGCCAACGGCTGTATCAGAGAATGTCCTGAGGGCAAAGACAGCATCAAGTGGATTGCTATTGCAATCAAAATGGCCCATGTGATTCAGAAATCTATTGCTTTTACCAACAAAATTGCTAGCATCATGATGTCATTTGTATGAAAATTAAGAATAAAAATTTATTACGATTTACATAATGAATTAGGAAGATGAAAGCATTAAGAGGACTATTTCCAAATCAGCAGAAGCATCATCGTCAGAGTGAATACAAAAAAAGAAAAGAGAAGAGTCTGGAGACACTGACTGATCAAGTGTGAAAACAGAGGTTGTTTCTCTTCATGTGGACACGAGTCTCTCAATATTTACCAGCTTTTGAGAATAAGGTAAACATCTAATTGATAACTGAAATTTATTCTTTACATTTCCTTTTTTTCTCTCATTCTCTCTCCATCCAGCTGTTTTTTCGGTTTGTTCACATGTAGACTCTTCATTTTTCCTTTTTTTGTGTCTCTTTCATAAGCCCCTTTTCCAACTTTATCTTTTAAGCTTGAAAATAAGGCCGAAATATGGATATCTTAACGCCATACCAGGTAATTCAAGTCCCTTCCATAAGGACCAGATGTCTCATTCCTTCTTACCTTCCTTTCTCTCCATCTCTCTGCTTCCCTCTCCACCATCATTCATCTATCTCGTTAATTTCCATTTCAGCATAGAACTCGAATAGTAACTCCTCTCTCACCCTTTCTCATCTGCACTCTGACTACTAGAGAACAGAAATTTGATACAAGTAATTAATTAAGTACAAGCTGCAGTTGAGTTTTTATTTCAGTCACTTTACCTGCTCAGCTGACTCATAAGTCCTTTTTCCCAGCTTTTTATGCAAAAGATACTATAAGCCCTTCACGTCTTCTTGTCGAATTTTTACGACTTTCCCAGTTTCTTCTATTCTTCGTTTTCCTTGAAAGCTCTTTCCCTATCTCTATCACACTCTCTCTTTTCTCTTTCTCTCTCTTTTATTTCACTCTTTGTTTCGTTTTCACATCTTCCCTAGACAGTTTCGCTTTCAAACTGTTCCTTCAGCTTTATAGAATCGAAGAAGCAAGAGAGCAATAAGAAAAGTTTTATAATCTATCGTGATAACGTTGAGAAAGGGAGAGGCTCTCTTTCTCTTCCTGAGAAGAAACGAAAATCATGATCTCCTACGACTCGAGAAGAAGAAGAAGAAGAAGAAGACGAAGAGACAGACAGTCTCGTACGATATAGAAATGAACTATCGTCAAATGACAAGACGACGTCGTCTAAGAGGGCGACAGCATCGACAATCCCTTCACTACGACGAGATGAGACAAGAGAAGGATGACTAAGTTAACGCCTTAAAATCGTTTGCTTAGAATATATGAAGCATAATCGATTTCTCCTATGTCATTTATTCCATAGATTAGAACTATAGCAAGCTCAATATTATCGATGAGATGTCACCTTGCCATAAATGGCTTTGGGCAGTTGAGTAAACAATCAGGGGATAGAGGGAGGTCGAAGTCAAATGATGGAAGGATTGGTCATAAGAAGAACGGTTGACCTGAGTTCAGCTTATCCTTCCTGTTCAAAGTACATTCCGCTTAGAAGGCTTTTGATGGGAAAATGAAGAATAAAGAAGGGATGAGAGAGAATGATAAAGAGAGGAAAGAAAGGAAGAGAGAGAAAGAGAGAGAGAGTCTTCAAATCTGAACAAAGTTGTTGTTCGTAGAACATTCAGGCCAATGTTGAAATAGGAAAAACACTTGTTGATGTCCGGATGGATCAAATGGAATTGTCATAGAATCTCAGATACAATGACCTATTCTTATACGGTCATCATGAGCAATCTTTACTGTTGCTTCCACTCAATATTTTCCTTATATGGGCTATAATAGTATTTCTAAGAAGGTCTAGTAGTCACAGCATTGACAAGACACTATAGAATTAAAAGAACACGTGTAGTATCTCTTTCATCGTCTCTCTCTCTCTCTCTCTTTCCTCATTCTTGTTCTCATTCTCTCTTTCTTTTTACAAATTTCTTGGGCTATCGGATACGGACAATGGAAATAGCACTTCCGACCGAAAAGGATGCACTCAATGGAACTCACAAGAGGACAGACATATGAATAGAAATGAGAAATGATATAGAAAGAAGACAATCAGATGAGGACAGTCATCTTCCAAATAAGTGCAAGCCGTCTTCTCAAACAGTATGATAACTGTCTCATCCAATTATTGTTTTCCTGATATAAAGTTTATATGTAGTTCCATCTTTATAAGGTATGTTATAGGCAATGAAAAAGAAAGGAGTATGAGATTGATGGAGTGAACAGAAGCTACAAGCATCAGACATCCTCAAGATTTTTGAGATCTTGTCAGGTTTCTGTCCAACTAAAACTTGATTCGTTTGAACTTCTGAGGATGTCGGGTAGACGAAGAGGAATCTTC